AACTTGGTTCTGGATAGCTGAAGATGGCATACGATTAATAAGATAGCAAGATGTAAGAATTGTATCCCAAAAAACGCAACGGAGCATGAGATTGTATGAGTAGGGTACGAGCAGTTTCAATAAGATGTCTATTCTTTCTTTCAGCTACCCCATTTTGTTGAGATGTGTACGGACAAGATGTTTGATGAATAATCCCATGAGATTTCATAAACTGCTGAAATGGGGAAGACAAATACTCTCGGGCATTATCACTACGAAATGTGCGAATAGAAACCCCAAATTGATTTTGAATTTCAGTGTGGAAGGTCTGAAAAATAGAAAACAGCTCAGGATCGATTTTTTATCAAAAATATCCAAGTGCACCTTGAATAATCATCAATGAAACTGACAAAGTAGCGGAATCCCAAGGTGGAACTGACCCGACTAGGACCCCAAACATCTGAATGGACTAAAGTAAAAGGTGACTCTGCTCGATTATCAAGACGCCGAGGGAAATGGGAGCGGGTATGCTTACCGAGCTGACATGACTCACACTCTAGAGCTGACAAGTGAGATAAACCAGATACCATTTTCTGAAGTTTTGACAAACTGGGATATCCCAACCGTTTATGTAATGAATCTGGTGAATCAGTAACAGGACAAGTTGTAGAAGGAAGACAAGATGTGAGTCCATGTGATTTAGCAAGGATAAGGTAATAAAGTCCGTTTGATTCACGCCCGGTACCAATGATCCGCCCCGTACTGCATTCCTGTATAAAAACATGGTCATCAAGAAATAAAACAGCGTATTTAAGTGATTTGGCTAAGCGACTAACAGCTATGAGATTAAAAGGACTATTGAGAATATAAAAGGACTAAATCTAAAGGTAAGGAAGGAAGTGGGCTTGCTTGACCTATTGCAGTTGCCATGGTTTGAGACCCATTGGCCATTGTGACTTTTGGAAGAGATTGAGAATACGAAATAGTAGTGAAAAGAGATTTGTTACCAGAAATATGATCTGATGCACCTGAATCAATGACCCAAGACTTAGAGAATGAAGAGTGGGAGAAACAAGTCACTCTATTACCTGTTTGAACAACAGAAGCTATCTCAGAAGATGTCTGCTTACATGATTTGTACTGAAGGAACTCAATATAATCTGCTAAAGAAACCATCCGACTATTCAAAGCATTGGTTCCCATGTTGCTACAATTTGTAGTAGCAGGGTTAACTTGAAATAGTGGAAATAAGTAACTCCTGTGAGAAAACTGAAGAAATAGCTTGAAAAACGCTGTTTACAGCAGGAAAACAGAACACTGTTCTGCGCCAGAAACAATGTTCTCGCTGGAAACACTGTAGCTTGCCGGAATCTACTGTAGCTGACGGAAAACTCAAAGTGGTTGGAATGAAACAAAATCAATGAAGGTAGGATCGGAATTACTAGGCGATCCTACTGTTCAACTGAAATTTTTTCAAAATCTGGCCGGAACAGTGCTCAAGCTCCGGCGCGTGGGTCAGATCTCGCCGGAAAAAAATTCTTTTCCAGGCGCGTGAGGGCGCGTGGACGTGTGTTTCCGGTTGGGTTGACTGGGGTTTGGTCGCCGGAGCCTGAGGAGTCTTGTGGTGTTGTTGGTTTTTGCACAACACCAACAGAAAGTGATTTGCTTACGGACAGCCTTCTAAGTCGCCGGAAAATTGCACGGCGAAGAGGTCTTTCTTCCCAGAAGTCGCTGGAATGATGCACATCGACGGGTTTCTCACTAATGCTTTGATACCATGTGAGAAAGCACGGGAGAAAATAGGTTATATGATATTAGATCATAAATACAATACAAGAGGTGTATCTGTTGCAGGGAAGGAAGATAGGGTGTTAGAACTGTTGAGGGAGATTGAGCAACA